TTTTCAGTGTTTTCAGCAATCTCAATAGATGCTTCAGCTAACATGAACTGAATTGTTGCTGGCATCTGCCTCCCTTGAGAGTCAGTGGAGTGCGCCTCCGGCGGGGGGAGAAAAAAACCACTGTGGTAGCAGCACCAAAGTAACTTCTCTGGGATGTACAAGCCTGGGCAGTGTGTATGGAGGTCCTGGGCTGCCCAGACAACTAGATCCCACCTCGGCCTCACTAATGTGGTCCAAAAGAAAGCAGAGCAATACTGCGCCTTGGCTGCAAGAGTTGCCAGAAGATCATTCACCCTCTTGGTACAGTGGCATTGCGTTGCAGTGGAGGCTCCTCCAAGGCTTCAATGAGGGAGCTCAGGATCAGCATCCTATATGGATGGGTGGAAGAGCTGTAAGTATTATTTGCTGGGGTCTGTTTGCATTATTTGCTGAGCCCCCTCAGAAATTACATCAGAAAGTCTTCTATAAACTGACTTTACCACATATAAAACAAGGAACCACTACCACCCCACTGTTTAGGTTGCCCCCAAACCCAGATCACAAACTCTTATTTATACAAACTATTATTTTTAGTTTGAGGAGCTCCCTCTATTCATAGACTGAGATACTATCTGTGCGCTACTTTCAGGGTTGTTTCTTGGAGTATAGTTGACGTAAAGTTGTCCAAACAAGTCCTCCCCAAAGTAGACCAACAAAAATCAATGTACATAAATTAGTCAGGACTATGAGTATGACTTGTTTGAATACAACCCATAGTTTATGGAAATGGTTATACCAGATATTTTACTAAAATCCATTGATATAATGCAAATTCTCCAAGTCATGATGGGTGTTATGTATATTGACTTGGAAATGTGCACACTTCTCTCTTCATGGATGGATTAAATCTGATGAATTTGCACAATGGCCAGTTATTATGCACATCAACTGCCATCCCCCTTAACGTGTGTGTGTGTGTGTGTGTGTGTGTGTGTCAGAGAGAGAGAGAGAGAGAGAGAGAGAGAGAGAGAAGCTATTGCTTCATAAAGTGGGTCTCTCAGAAGTAATGTTCTCATTATTGTATTACGGGCATTTAGAAATGCAATGTGAAACAAATGTACCTGTTTTTCCTCTGTCAAGTGCTGGAGGATTGGGGAGCTTGGATTAATGGTTATTGCCAACTTAATTTGATAATGTGAGTAAATTTTGGATTTTCAATGTGTGGTTTCACATATTCTTTTAATTGGTGATCTAGCTGTACAATAAATGTGTTGAGATATCTCCTTTATATTGTTAGCACTCATTCCCTTTTAATTAGCATCATTTTAAGCAGCATCATTGCTTTCTAATTTGAATCTTTTCCCAGGCCAGGCTTGTAAAATGTTTTATAATAAAAACAGAAACTTTATTTATTTATTTTTGAAAGTTTCCTGCTTGCCAATCGTATCCCATACATCACAGTCTAATTAGAGGCAAAGAGCTTTTTTTCCTTTCTCCTCTTATTTTGGAAGTGATGTTTGAGAATGGGAGGTAGAAGTCCGTCTTCAGCTGCCAGATCTACTCTGGACCCTCCCATCTCTCTGATTAAAAGTCTCCTGAGGTCAGCAGCTCATTTGCTTATGCCAGGAAATGACAGTTGCTGACAACCAAAGGCAGACCATGGCTCAGTCAGTCATTGGCTTTATGGTATAAAACATTACCATATTATGATTAGTGGTCTTAAGTAATACACAACACAGCCTGTAATAAATCATCCAGTAAGTCTTTCATCTAGCAAATGGCTTACTGAACAAGAAAAGAAATGACGATGTTCTCCATCGCATTGACAGTGCCTCTCTTTGAAACCTGCCACTGTATCTGGCATTCAGGGACACCAACTCATGGGGGCTGAGCTGCTTTGCACACCCAATATCTTTGGGGAGGCACACACACACACACACCCATGTTGAGGGGGCAGACGAGGCCGAGTGCAGAGCTAAGCATAGTGCATCTTCATGGAAGGAGGCTGAGTGAGAGAGAGGAGGAGCTGCTGACCACTGAAGCCATACTGCACTCAGCTCAACAATCGGCCTCCTCCCGACAATGCAATGTGTGATGTTACATGTGCGACCCCGGGCTCCCCTCATTCTTTGGCGCAAGTTGGTGCTTCTGCTGGCATCAATCGTCTTATGCTGCCTGACTTGCTTAAAAGATTGTTCATTACAGTAAGCCAGCCATCTGGGCCCACATTGATAATCCTTTAGTCCCTGCCTTCCATGCAGGTGTTCCTTTGGTTGTGCTCTTCTCCCCTAGAGAATTCCAGACAGGGAGACAGGCTGCAATCACAGTGTTTTATCTGGCTTTGACTCCATGATAGCGCCATTACAAGTTTGATGCCTCTTGCACAAATATGATTCCTCCCTTCCAGGATGTCAGAGTGTTTCACCACCCTGAAAGGCGTATTACCGTCGGTACAATCATATAATGTTAGCGCCCTCACAGAGTAGAAATGGATTACAGGATTATAGAAAGACTAATGTTCTTAGGCCTTGCCATATGCTTAGTGAAAGATTGGGGAAGGAATGATTAGGGCTGGTTCAAGGTTTGGGCAATAGGCTTTCTAGTAATAGTGGTTCCCTTGACATCAATGGTGGGCCTCCCCAAAGCTGAATCCTCATGATCTATGGTGCACAACTGCAAACTGGCAGCCATTTTAATTACCCAGCTTTCCCATTGCTGTGCTAGTGGAGCCCCAACTGCACCACCATCTTGTACCATCTCCATTTTAGAACCTTTCACATTGTAAATGCTTCTATACAAAGCGTCTTCTCTGTGAAGCTCTTCCAGCTCCTTTGCATGCCAACAAGTTTAAAAACAACAACAGCTAATCAATGCCAAACATTTCTGTGTATGTTGAGAGCAAACAAGTACTCCACAGCTGCACAGTTAGATGGTGGTGTTTTTAGATGTCAGTTCTTATGCAGAAGACTTCACAGTGTACGTCTACCTTAAAAATTCTGCATTACTTTTGGTGAGAAATATACCCCCCCAGACCTACTTTATCAGTGCAAAGTTCTTGCAATTTCCCTTTCCACAGTCATAAATTACTGCAATGCTATATGTGTCCCTTAAATATCCGACTTCTGTGTTAACAACTATGACTACACATTTCCACTTCATTGGTTTTCTTTTGAGCTGGCAACAATGCATTAAGTTACCTATAATGGAAGGATTTGGTGGTGGCATGAGGCCACAGCAAACAACTCATTTAATTGTGTCTGAGAGCAGGAAAGCTGGGCTAGTGATATAAAGAATCAAGATAGTACAACTTATTTCTGAAAAAAACTAATAGGCCATGTCTGCTGCCATTTATAATGAGTCAAATCTGATATAACACCATGGATTCCAGAATCTCATTCTGTACTGGGGCTGAATTGTGCCACCTTCCCCCACTTTGTGAATACTATTCACATTTCAAGCCCTTTCTGAAAACATCATGCTCATTATCAGCCCCTTAATCCACCTTTCTTGGTCCTTTCTTTTTTTATACTAGAGCAAACTTTAAATGAGGGGGTTGTGGCAATCAATGAAAGAGCTCTTCTGTTGATAATGCTATGGGTGGAGCAGACAGCAAGGATGTTACCCACGTTTTCTTAAAAAGTATTTAAGATGCTTCAACTTTCCCTTGCCTTCCTTGTTTCTTCTTCTTATATATACACTTACACACACCTACATCTAAGTTGATGGCGCAACGGTAAAAATGGGGTTTCTCATAAGTGCAACCAACTCGAAATAGGGTAGGCATAGCCAATGTGCTGCTCTGCCAATATTGTGGACAGTTTCTGCCATACAGCATAGGAGTCGGTGCCTATGCTGCCAGCCAATTCACTCATGCCACCAGCATGCCTGCTTTGCTCGTCACAGCACCTGCTGTTGTCACACTGCAGTTCATGTGGCCACCTATCAGCAGCCATGCAAAATGCAGCATGACAACTTTTTTTCTTACAAAAATATGATATACAGTAGTAAGACATTGTTCCATACTTTGTTTAAGAGAATTCACTTTGTTTATTGGAACGTTCTCACTTAGGTATATTTTCTTTTTCTTTTTCTAATAATATTATTATTGAGATTTTATAATTGCAAATATCAAATATCATATACCATTATCCAATCCTACCTTACCTTACATTTACAATCCCCTCCCTCCCCTACTGTCTTCCCTCATCTTTCCCTTCTTGTTTGTTACATTGTTTGTTGTATTCTGCATGTATATATACTGTATATAGATGTATTTTCTGTTCCAAGAAAGCAATGGCATTTGGTTTCATGAACATCTCCAAATCCCACAGTGAAATGGTTGCTTGTCTTTGATCCCAAGCCATCTGTTATCCTCTAATGTAGCTGAGTGTAGTCCAACTTGAATCTCTTGAAAATGGTCACCACTGTACCATAGCTTGCTTAATTAAATGTGTTATTGCTTCTCTATGTGTGTGTCCAGAACCACTCCCAGCCACATCCAGAGGACAGCAGCCAGGTGGAACGGAATGCCCTGTTATCACTGCTGCTTTATATACTTGTGCTATTCCAGTGGAGAGAATCTGGATCCATATCTCGGGACTTGAATATTATTTACGATTTTGCATTCTTATTCATTCTTTTATGAAGATTTTCATTAGTCTGTATTGTAGTATTCCATTTTATTCAATCACATTCCCAAGACTGAAAATAACATACTGCAGAGAACTGCCTCACAGTTTCAGTTGGCAGATTTATTAGATTCAAAGCAATTCATATTGTAAAAAGTGATTTATACATGCAGTGTATTTTAAGAAGTGACGTATCATTTATAAAGTGTCCTGCAAAATTAAATTTTATTTCATTTTTCATATCCTTGTTATACATGGCACACTTGACCATACTTTCTTGTTCAGTTGTATTTCTAACCTATATTCTGCTGCACAGTTGTGGCAGCAGATCAGTTCCAGCAGAAGGTCCCCAGCACGGGTTTATTGTGAGTATTTCATATAATTTTGAGAAGGGCTGTAGCTCAATGTTAGAGCATCTGCTTTGCATGCAGAAGGTCCTAGGTTATATCCCTGGCATCTCCATGGAGGACTGGGAAGCCGTAGAGTGTCTCTGCCAATCCATCTAAACAATACTAAGAAGGGGGCTTCCTATGTTCCTAATTTCTTATGGTTATCCTTAGAAAGTCTTCATTTATTTACTCTGGAAGACTGCGAAGTGGGGAGAGCATTGTAGAGCCCAGGAGAGCTAGACTCATTCTCATTTAACTAAGGTGCAAATGGTGGGGAACCCATCTGGACTGCAGGAGGACGAAGAAGGCGTGGCTTCACCAATACGGACATGAAAACACAAAAAGAGCAAGGCAGGGATTCAATATAATAAGCGACAAATATATTAAGGGACAGTAAAGCAGCAGAATCTAATTGAGGCTAAATCAGCAGCTTAAGTTGACACACATTGGGCATTTACCTATTTCATTTAGTTTTAATGCATCTGGTTCTGCATGTATTCAAGCATGTCTCCAGTTCCACAAGTTTTCTATAATTGCTGCTGCATTAACAATTTCCTATTGGTCTCAGCTGCAGAGCATGTGTGGCACCCAAAAACAAAGAGTGTCCAAGGCCACACACAAGTATCTGTTTGAGCTGGACGTTACCCTACAGGCTAGCAGTTGAACATTCCTGGGTTGAAGGACTGTTCAGAGGTCAATGAACAGGAAGTCCATGAGAACGGGTTCAATTGCTCTTAAGTTAATTTCCAACCAAATTCCATTCCAGATTGTTGCAACAGTGCCTCTAAGATTCTGCAAGATTCATGAGAATTCCTGTTTCCAGGGAACAAATTATTAATACAGACAGTCCTCAGAAAATAAAAATATTGTGGGCGATGAGAGCATCACTCAGTGTTGTGACAGGTATGGAGAGTGTTCTAACCACAGCAAAACAAATGAGGTTGTGATCGATTTATCAATCTAGTAATTCGCATGTGGTGTCCAAAACTGAATATCTCAAAATCATCGACTCAAGGCAAGGGTGTCTCATCTTACTAATGTCTCTTGGTGGTTGTAAGATGAAAATATACCTATTTTCCATGTCACAAAATATAATAGTTTTGACTTGTAGCTTTCCGTGAAATCTGATTTCATACTGAACACAGCAAATATTAGTAAACATTACACATGTGGCGAGGGGAAGAGGGTTAATGGTTTATAGATTTCTTTTCTGGTCTAAGAACATTGAAAGAGCCAATAGTATTTACTCTGTTTAATGAAACCATGTACCCCTGTTAAATGTAATTGTTCTTGTCAGTCTTCTGCTTGAAATTGCACTACTGCTCTTAAGTGGTAAAAAAAAAAATCCTGTCTACAAACACAATAGTACTAATGCTTATAGCATATATATTGTTAATTTCTAGCATTCTGAAAGTCTCTGAAAGGCTGTCCAGAAGGAAACAATAGCTGTGAGCTGAAGAATTAAACTGCCACTCAAATTTGAATTATTTGTTGCTTAGAAAGAACGATAACACAAGTATGGAGAACCAATACTGGTTTCTTTAAAACAAATTTGGGAATTGCTTCCTGTGAGGAAAAGTGTATTGGTAATGGTAAGTGTAATTCTGAGTATTCTAATACCTTAGATATCTGAAATCAGATTTACCACATCCTCAGCCTGGAGATGGAAAGACCAATCTATTTCAAGGCCATGTTGATTTTGCATTTGTCCATTCAATTCCATTTGTCCATTAATATGTGTGGTTTTTAAAAAAAAAAAAATCCATGCAAAAATTAGATTTAAATGCATATTTAAATATTTTTAATCACAAAATACATATTTCAATACATATTTGATCTCCATGTATGTATTGTTATACATATTTTATGGGGGTGCCTGGACCGGAAGACGTGGTTCAGTCCCTGATTCAGCACTTTGGAAAACACCCCACTTCATTCCAAAGTTAGCTGACTGATTCAGTTTGGGGTTGATCAAGTCTGCTTCCTCCCTTCCTTCAACTCACTATTAATTTTTCCCCTTTTGACAGAAGTGGATGAAATTTGCAGACATTCTACCTCCTCCAAAGGGGTGAAAGCTTGTCAGATTGGACCTAAGTGCGTTCAGGTACTTTTTTGGTTTTTTTGCTGGGCAACTTTAAAATGTGATTTATTTATTAACAATCATTTTTCTTTTATTTGGGGGCAGAGTTTGATGATATTTGCAAGCAAAGTTGTCCCTTCTGAGGGCATGAATCCCATCAAATTTCAGAAGGACAGCTGTAGTGGTTTCTCCACAAGCAATTACAGTTCAGAAGCAGCAAACAAACAAACCCTTTCAGCTAGTGTTTTGTGACCAATTGGTCGGAAAATTGCAGACATGAGACAGGCACCCCAAGCAAAGAACCTGCCAAATTGCTTGCAAATAATTCCAAGGCCTTCTGTACTAGACACCTTTAAAATTCATTTTGAGGTTGTAAGAACTAGAATGGATTCAAATTCTGGATATGAACATTCCTTTTGATTTAAACTTGCCCATCAGTGACAATGGAGCTCTCTCTCTCTCCCCTCTCCCGAGTCTGGTACATGTTCTTCCTTCTTGCATCATCCCGAACTGATCTGAATCCTTATATGTTAAGCTAGAGACATTGTTTCACTTTTAGTTGATGCTTTTCTGTAGCATTTATTTAACGTCTACAGCACTGAGCTATCACAAAACATTTCAGGAATCCCCTAACTACACAGATCCTGCATCACTTCTGAAAAGCCTCAAATTCCTTTGAGGCACTTCACTTCAGTTGGGAATTCAGGATTCATCTAAATCCAATGCACACCCTTAACATTTTGACTCAAAACATGCATTTTAGGAGACATTTGTGAGGTTTCTTGAGCTGAGAATTGCCTGGGCTGAAAGATAGTTTTGTTGCAATTCACACAGTAGTTTGTGAGAAGCAGTTCAGGAACATTCACATTGGTTTTCAGAGAAACTGAATTCTTGAAGTATTCTCTTATATCTGGTACTTTTCTGTGTGCTCCATACAGATCCTTTCATGTTCATCAAGCTATTATCTTCATTTAAATAAATGGGATGACTCATGTGAATGTGGGACATTCTTGTACACATATTTCATGCACTCAGATAAGATTTCCGGACTAGAGCACAGACTTTGATTCAATGCTCAAAATTTACCTCTGAATATGAGACCTCTGCCTACAGTAAAAGCTTAAGATAAACAAATTGGGTAAGTTGGCAACATATTTATAGGACTACACATTTATTGAATGACAGCCAAAAAGGAACACTGTGAATTGCTGTCAGGATATTTTTCATCCTTCGTTGCATATTTTGATCAGCTGAAAGGTCTGGATATTTTTGGTGATGAAAATCCATAGTAAGCAAAGTACTGTACAAATAGAATCTCTGTGTCTGCATTTTTACTGACAGCACAATTTTGAGATGCTTTATGCAGTTCAACAAATCTATTGGAGATAAAGAGCAATGGAAAGTAATTTACAATTTCATGGACAACTCAAAAGTTTCAACAAGCAGAAAAGAATCAATCAGATATCCTTGAGATTCAGCTCAATCAACTAAAGGGGGCTTGTGTGTGGACACACCATTCTCAAGCAGGCAAATCAGGACATGGTAGCATTAGCTAGCTGAGACAGGGAAGAAACTGTTATGAAGTCTAAGTCTGGATGCTGTAATGTATCATAGGACATGACTAATGCTCTTAAGACTTGAGTTCCAGCTTCTAAACAATGTCAGGGCTTAATTGAAAAAAAGTACATCTTAACAGGACAATGAACAAGGACAAATTAATACAAATAGAAGACAACAAAACAATGATTTGGAGCAGGGGATACAAGTTCTAGTAAAGTCAGTGGAATTCTCATGGGAGGAAGCATGGGATATAAATTTAGCAAGCGAATAGTAATACTACTAGTAAATCAATCATGTGTTGGGTTTTATTGCACTTTTCTTGCTTTTGAGGTGGGCAGACTCTGAGGTGAGTCCCTTCATTCTGCAAATTATATCTTTGTGGATCTGCATTCTGCAGCCTTCCCAGGTGCCCATGGTTCCTGAAAACCCCAAGGAAACTTCAGCTGGGCTTTCCTGTGTGGGAAGTGTGGGAAGCCAGAGAAGTCAGGAAAGTTGTAAACCATGCTTCCAACAGCTCTATTTTTTGTTTTGTTTTTAAAGAGAAGCCTTTTTACTTTTAAGGAAATCAGTGTGGATTATTATTGTTCTTGTTGTTATCAAAAGGAATGACTTTGCATAAGAACAACATCCATAAGTGTGTCAACCTCAAGCACTCGCAACTTCCTGTACATTAATTAAAGCCCAAGGGGACTTCCGGGTTAGCGCCATCGCCGAATGGCGGACTCCCTCCGAGCTCCGGAGGGAGTCTGCTCGGCAGGGGCTGGGTCCTACCGCGCCGGCGACGCGGGGACCCTTAAAAACCACGGGCACGGAGTCCGTGGACATGGGTGACTCGGCTTGCACCATTAGCGCCCTCCCGACTCGTGAAGGAGCCTTTTTAAAGGCTTCGGATCGGGTGCCGGGGAGTGGCGTGGTGCTTGAGTCCACTGCTTTCCCTGCCGAGCGCAGCCGCATGCCATTCGACGGAGAGCGCTGACTTCTTCTATTGAAAATTTGGACTATTAACAACAACCCGTGAGTAATTGGGAAACCGGGTTCAAAATTTTGGATTTGGCACGAGCGGGGCGATTTAAAAGGAAGTCAATCCCCCTATTGTAAGCATTCCAAAACAAGGACTGGGTAACCAAGGTCCAAAGGGAAGTATGTCTCTGATAAAAATCATTAATTTCACGATGGGAAATTATAAGAAATGTGCTGGAGGAGAAGAGTGGAGGGTGAGAAGAAAAATGCAACCCCCCCCCTGGGAACCGGGGCGATTCGTGGAGCCTGGTGAAGAGAGACGGAGACTTTGACAGCTGTCAAAGTGGCTGTCAAAGCTGGAGAATATAAAGAGGACTTTGTTATGAGGACCTTGCTGGTTAATTTTGTTACAATTTGCTATAATATGGATATAAACTGTTGGAAAATAAGCAACAATTTGACTTTTGGATTAG